CGGCGTATTTTTTACATGACAGTAACATGTTTTGGCGTATTTTTTTACATGACAGTGATATGTTTCGGCCTATTTTTTACATGACAGGCACATGTTTCGGCTTATTTTTTTTACGCTATATCAAATAAAACGCTCTTATGTCGATACAAGTAATAGATCAGAAGTTACAAAAGTTTTTATGGATAAATAGTGTAGTACATTGCTGCACAGACATACAAAATTTTAGATCCTATGGATTATTTAAGATTAATCAAATGAGATAAAATCAAATCAATTGAAATTATAAGCAATTTATTTTTCGCGGTTATTTTTCAGAAATATTTAATTCCTTATTTTGATCTTACCAACTTTCCGATTTATTATTTTTCGCTGTATCGGATTAAGATCTAGGCCGATACAACGAACAGCTTAGATGTAAGTTAAAGTTTATTTTAAAAAAACAGGGATTTTGACTTACAGCTGTTTACATTTTTGACATTGCATTATAAGCAATAAAAGTATCGGATTCCATGTGCAGTTTTTGTTGCGAAGATCGAAATGTAGATGCGTAAATAGGTGCAGGTCAAAAATTGTATAATTTTTAAAAATTAAACAATTTGAACTCTTTTAACTTCAAAATTATTAATTCTATTAATTTAATTTCTATCTCATTTGATTTAGAGTAAATATGATCAAGTACATTGCTCGTCTGTATAGCAATTTGAGACGCATTAATAAGCATTAGTACAAAACAGTAGGTACTCTTTATCTATAAAATCTTTATAACATTTGAATTACTATCAACTTGATTAAAGTTTTATTTAATTCAGTATAAAAAACACATCGGAAGCAATTTGTCTTTACCCTTGAGTCGACATATCAAGTTAAACACCATTTAGTTGCATGAATACAAGAGAAAAATAAAAAAGGGACAAAAAGTAGTAAAATTCTCTGTCCCATTACACAAAAAAAGATAAAAACTACATGTGATAAACATAGCTACGACGAGCAACTAATTTCTATTTTGTCTTGTCTTACTATTAGCTTTGGTCTGAGTCTAGTAAATGTAGTTGTTATTTTAAAACAATTACTATGTTCAAAATAAGGCATTAAATATATCTGAAACTGTTAATAAATTGATTTGAATTTTAGTTGATTTGGTTTTATCTCATTTGATCAATCTGAAAAAATTTAGAGCATCAGAAACTTTGTCTGCACAGCAATGTATTGATTGTCCTATTTATCCATAAAAGCTTTTATAATTTCTGATGTATTATATATATATATTTCGGTACATTAAGAATTNTACCTATATATATATATATATTAATCGAACAAATATGTATAACAAATTTGAATTTGGAAAATATACTTTTAGAAAAATATACCCCTGATAAAAACGTTACGCACTAGACTGATTGCAGCTCATCTCGGGGAAAGTGTTAACTTCAGATATTGGGCCTAAATCACATTTTTTAAAACAATTTTCAGTATTCCCGTTGCTAATTCTGAACTCAATTACTTAGTTTCGGTCTCAACCCTTAGAGTCATATTATAAATAAAGTTGAATTAGTAATCATAGGTATGTTGATTGATCTACTTTCTGCTATACTTAAGGTTTCTTTTCAAACAGATGCCACACTTGTCTAGTCTTGGGGAAGGCAGTTAATGACCTTGAAATTTGTGCGAAATTTCAATATCTTTACTTACTTTCTCTGTACTTCAAATTTAAGCTCACGTTTATAGCAATCGTTGGGTATATAGAAATGATATCTATGAATGCAAACATTATTTATTTCAGACTTAAGGTGTTAAAAGGGGTTGGGGTAGTGCTGTGTTCAGAATAAATATCAAATTTCATGTCAAAAATATAAAAAAATCCAAATTTCAAAATGAGTGGGAGGTTTTTAAAAATTGTCCGAATGAATAATACTACATTTTGCTGCTTGTTCTGGGATCTTAAACCAAGTTCTTAGACGTCAGGTGTTATAAAATTTTTTAAAAAAAAAGGGGGGGGGGAAACATTTTTTTTAAAATTTAATTTTGTTATCGGCAGCGTGATAATGTTTAAATAGCGAATATATTAAGGAAGATAGGACACGTGAATAAAGCATAAATATCCTTTTCTGTACCTTTATTTTTGCTTTATTTACGTTGTTTTACTTTATTTATTGAATACCCTCAATATTCGGATGTTTTGAGCCATTTAAATGAGTAAATTAATAATTAAATCAATTTTTAAAATTATTTTTTTTTAAAATAGAACTTTCATACAATAAATGAATTTTTTTCAAAAACATGCTTGCTATCTCTGCAAACGATAATTAAAATTTTTTTTTTAAATAATTCAGTTTTTTAAGAGTTTTGAATCGTTGGTGTATGCTTTCCTTTCTTTATTGACGTTCATTTCATGTTTAAATACTGCAGTCTATATTATAATGTATCTTCATAAAAGTGTCAACAACTTCCTTTAAAAAAAGAAAAAATGAAGCGGGGGAGATCTAAATATCATCATCACAATCTTTGTTCGGAGTCATTTAGAAACACGTCATTTTATACGATCAATAGATTTGCTATGGATTTTACTCGATCTCGGTTGACAATTTTAAACTCTTTCTTTGTCAATAAAAAAAAATTTTTTTTTTTCTTCTTGTTATTCTAAGCTCTAAATTATGTGAGTATATAAATTAGTTACTGTTATTGATACATTTTAGTGGGTTTAGTGAGTTTTATTTCATGCCGATTGACAATTTTAAACTCTTCCTTTTATAGAAAAAAGTTTTTTTTTCCTTTTACTTTCCTGAATTGTTTAAATATATAAATTAGTTATTTTTATTAATACATTTTCAGTGGATTTAATTTCATGGTGGTTGACTATTTTTAACTTTGTTTTTTGTCAATAAAAGTGTTCTTCCTCCCCTTTTTTTTCTAAATTGTGTCAATATTAGTTATTAATTATTGTTATTTATACATTTTCAGCCGCTTTTATTGAATGGCGGTTGGTTGAAGCTTTTTCTTTGTCAGAAAAAAGTACTTTTTCTTTTTTTCCCTAAATTTTCAAGTATATAAATTTAAAATGCAATTTTTTTATAAAATTTTAATAGCTTTTAATCCATGGCGGTTGGTAATTTTCAAATATTTATCCCTAAAGAGGTGAGGTTTTTTTCTTTTAAGTTGATCAAATATATAAACTAAATCTAGTTATTTTATCTAGTTATTTTATTTACTAGTCTAGCTATTATTATTTTATTACGTATACAGTTAGCTGCATAAAAATAAATAAATAAATAAAACGGAGAAAGCTAAGAAAATGAGATTTACTTTTTCTGAAAATATTAGTTGCATTTTGAAACCATCAAAATTAATTATGGAAATAAATAAATTTATAAGAATTTTGAAAACTAACAACAACAAAAATCGAATACGTAAAATCATTCCTGTTTTTTTTATTGATATTTTAAGCCCATTAAAATTAGTTTTCTTAAAATTAAGAAAAGGAATTACGTTTTAAATCTGTAAGAATGAGCTTTATTAATAATCTACTAATAGATTTATAAATAATCTACCTGGAAGTAGACTATTCAGCTAGATGCAATTAATACGAGTACTATACGGTGATTGATTTGACACTGAGTGCAGAAATAAAAAGTTGTTGTTGACACACGAATTGTGAAAATAATTATAAATTTAATACATGATCCGTACTTTTTGACGAGTTCACATCATTTAACCGAAGATTCCATTCTTACACTATCTAAATTCAAACTTCGTCTCTCATCTCCGATCGCGGGCTGTTCAAAATTCATTCCTTCCTTGCTTCTAATATATATTTTTTCAGCTCTTTTCTGTTATCGGTTACCTTTCATATTCCCTCTCTTCAAACTCTAACATCCGATTTTTCCAAATCCTTAGAAAAACCATCAATAATGAAAGATGGAGTATATTTAGTAATTTGCTGCTGATAGTGATTAATACATAATGAATAGATACTACAGGAATAAAATTTGGACTAAAATGTAAACATTTTCAAAATTCATTCAACATTTTTATTAAGTAACAGTGCATTAAATTTTTTCCGGTCACTCATCACAGTTGTCACACATTTTGCTTAAATAGAGTTTCTGAATTTATGAAATTTGCTGTAATTTACAGTTTGTTATTATTTCCCTTTATATGTAAATTCCTTGAATTTTTTTTAACTCAGTTTGTTTCGTTAAAACCGTTAAAGGAAGCATTTCAAATAATCGATTTCGACTCCTCATTTTTTCTTGTGGCAAATAAAACAGGTTTTTAAGTTGTTGTTTTTTTTTTCTTTTGTCCTGTCCTCACTAGAAATTCGTTAGAGTTCGGTAGCACTTGTGCTTTTTCCTCGTTTAAAAATTTATTTGCCACTCCTTATGTGCATGCTTTTTTGATTTAATATTTGACAAATATTATAAAAATTTAAGTTAAGAGCAGCAATTACGGAACACCCTGTCTATATATATTACTTGTGGTGGAATAAGAAGACACGGCAACAGAGTCACAGAAAAAAAACTTTCTTTTTACAGGAAGATTTTTTGCAGTGACGACGCATAAAGTTTTTTTCCGCCAAGAAACATATCTGAAACTTTTTGTTTGTTAATTATTTGCATAAATACTTTACTGAAAAATTTGTGAAATATTTTAACTATACAATGCGCTGCGTCAAAAATTATTTGTTTGCGCGGTGTACGCAAATATTCCTTCCTTTCCTCGGTTTATAAGCAGCGCAATTGACAACAAAAAGCACTGTTGAGCTGATCCCTGTTTATTTTCCCTTCCGTTCATTCGTGGATCTACAGCGCGGAATTGCAATGACAGCATTGAGAAGAGGGATCTTTCCATAAGTTCGCATTTTAATCGTTTTTTATCGCATTTTAATCGATATTGTCTGTTTTTATCGGAATGATAATGCAAATCATTTATCGTTTTAAAAAGCAAGAAAAAAAGATTACAAATAACTACTATTAAATATTCTTTTCTTTTTGTTGAGAGGAAAACAGACTCTCATATCAGTTTTTGTTTTCGTTAGCATATTGTAAACGCAGACGATTTTTATCCTTAATGAAATAATTCACGTGGCAGGTGCTATTTCTATTTTATTAGCATTTGTACTTTCATTGTAAATTCTCAGTTTGCAAGTTGTTACCGCCATTTTTTCCATTTTACATAAGTCAGTAAAATCTTTTAGAATATTATGCCCATACAACTGCAGTGCTAAAATTTTACCATATTCGAAACGGTAAACTCCACTTTTCTGCTGCAGTATTCAAACAAGATATTGACATAAAAGACATGATAATTCGGAAATTTGAGTTCAGAAGGTAACTTTTTAAGTTTTGTAAAACCTTGTTTAGAACTCTTTAATTCTTTTTATTTTATGAAACTAGTCAACATCATGGAGAAAGATAGCTTTGTTTAAATCGTTTTTCTTTTTTCTATTTCTAGCATTTTAAAGTATAGATATTATTGCTAAGAATGTTTTTAAAATGATTAAATATTCTTTTATATCAATAATTGCTTTATTATTGAACATAAAAATGACTGTATTTTCGAATTTAATGTGAGCTTCCTAATTGAAATACGTAATTTTGCAGCATTTTATCGTACTTACATATTTACATTGGGTATTTACACTTTGCTTACACATTACATATTCCGCGACACGAAGCTTTTGGAGCCCGCTTCAGATTTCTTCAACTTTTGAGAAGTTTATCGTTTAAAGGCTGTGTGATGCCACAATAGGCATTACATATTTACTAGATTTTAAAATTTCTTTAATTTCTTCGAATTAAATCGAATTTTTAATTAAATTAAACCAATTATTTAATTTTTATTACGTTTCATAAAAAGCGAATATAAAAAATTTTATTCTTTTCTTAACGACCATTAAAATAATTTTAACAGAAATTCTCGATATGAATTCTTTTCCTTATTTTTAAAGTTTTGAATGTGGTCATATTCAATTTAATATTTGCTTAATAAATCAATTTTTCCTTAACGATTTTATTCATTTCTCTGAGACAAGTATCCCTACTTGATATTCAAACTGAAGTGAATCTCACACGGCCAAAAATATGCTTAATACTACAATGATACTACCTAAACAGACCAATAAAATTGGTCTGATCACCGCCTTCATAGGCTGTTAATCACTTTTAACAGTTGAGTTTTGGAACGATTCAATTTATAGCTTTCACGTGAAGTCGTTATTCTTTATTTAATAATACCTTTTATCAATATTTTAATAAATGCAATAGTCTTTTATCAATATTTTAATAAATACAGTAACCTTTTATAAATATTTTAAAAATTTCTATCAAAAAAGAAACTACTATGAAAAAGTTAAAATTTTAAGGAATTATAAATTACAAATCACGATTTTTACTAACTTAGGGAACATTCCTACTGAATGTTGTTTGATCGTTTTACTTAAAATTTTACCAATCAAATTTTCAATTTCGAAATATATATTTCAAATGAATTTTTTTATTTTGCTGAAAAAGTGATTTAAAAAAATATTGTCGGTGCTTCATTGGAAAATACATTGTATTAAAATGAAAATTTTATTTTCAAAACATTTGAATCCTTCACAAAATCGTTAATTACAACGAAAATTGAAGATCAGAATATCTCCACTCTTCTCTTAAGATAAAAACCGATTAAACATTTCAGTCTGTTTTCGACTGGCATCGTCACAACAGCTTGTAGTGGGTTCCAAAAGTTCCATGTCGCGGGACTGTCCCCTCATTTTGCTGTAAGATTAATGGACATTAAGTATGAGTCGCTTCCTAAATAATAATGAAATAAAACATCTATTAAAGGTTAACGTGGATTTTCGATAGTTAAATAAAATAAAATACATAATAACATTGTTTCCGAGTATTTAAAGCAAAGTATAATTTGATTTAAAAATTTTAACTACTGTCTATATCTCTCCTGTTTTGTAATTTATTTTTAAACCGAGTACAAATTTATATGTTTGGCATTACTCCTTTTTAACTTATGAATAACAAATTCGAAAAAGTGTTGTCATTTTCTATAGTTAGAACTAAAGTTTTATAGTAAATTACCAGTTTAGATTTTCGTCAATATACAGCATAAAATTCCGATTCTTATTAAAAATTACTTATTAAAAATGTTTTTGTATGAGACTACTTTTGGGTAAAAGAGTTCTTTAAATGGGTTCAAAAAGTTTTTGATGAACGCATATAATTTTAGAGATAGAATTCTCTTTTGACTTGACTATTGGATCTATATTTTTTCATGTTTTTATGTATTATTTCCTTACTCAATATTTAATGCTTCTCCAATTATATTACCAATATATTTAATTCCACATTTGCATTCTTCAGAAATATGTGTTATTTTTTCAAAACATCAATATATTTTCATGACAGTTTCATCAAACTCTGAATACTTTTTCAGGATTCAAATAACTACCCCCCAAAAAATTTCTTTGTTGTCTTAAAATGGTTTGCTGCAGAATAATATTTATACATTATACATTTTACAGGATTTGAAAAAAAAATCATTTATAATATTCCTTCCCGTTCCACATATTTATGTGATATTCCAGTTTAAATTTTACATTATTTTAATTTTTTTTCAAAAGAGGTCAAAGTTATTCCATTTTCTTTTCACTGTGATATTTGCCTCCTCTCAAAACCTCTAAGCTAATAAAAAGCATAAAGAATATAGAAATTTACGTCCTAAAAACTTACGTGAAAGAAATGAATGACATTTATTCTTTTTTTCCTGAATTTTTCTTGCGAGTAAAGAATCACAATTATTTTTGTAAATTTTGCAGTTTGGTTTTGAAAACGTTTCGTATTTTTTCGCATGAAAGTATTGTCACAGAAATCAGTGTAAATTTTATATTATATTATTCTTTCCATGAGAAAAATTCTTCAAATAGTTTTATCCTTTTCATACAGAGTAGTTAACTATGTAAATGCAATAGTATTGTCATTCTTTTTAAATAACACGTTAGACGATGCATTTTTCAGTAAGTAGATGCAAAAAAGTAGTCTATGCAAAACAGATTTTCCCTCTGAGTCACCCCACAGATCATCATTTATTATGTTTTTCAAATCCCATGACGACAGATGCTCCTTTAACGTATCATTAAGAAATCTCTTTCCGTTTCTTATAAAAATCAATAACCGTCCAAGATTTTTTTTTTAAAGGTAAAAATTCGAAGCATAGTTTTTTTAAAAATACTCTTTAAAAATCTATTGAAAAACTTGGGAGTTTTTGATTTTATATCAAATTGAAGAAAATCATAAAAGCAATTAAATAAAAAATATTTATTAAAAAATTAAATAAAGAATATAACCGGAAAGTGACCACTTCATCCCTCTGTTCAGGGTGTTCCTAAATAATCACCTTTAATATATACGTATTTTAGAACTCTTGACGTCTGTGTGATTTAAGATTCATGACATGACGTCTACTTCATATTTTAGAATCCATGACATCGGTGGGATTTACTGTTGGTGAGTTTATGAAGTGACGTCAAGTATAAATTTTAGGATCTTTGACGTCTAATGTGATTTACAATTCATAACGTGATGTCCTTGAGATTTATAGTTAGAATATTGTCAGTATTGTCCTCCTTCCTGAGTAGCGTGACAGCACAGGATATTCTCTGGCCTTCTTCAGAATTCGATACCACGTGAATCTATCTTTTGCCTTGTGCCTCTATTTATGCCGTTTAAAATCTTTCTTGGGCCATAGTAACTACGCATCATTTTCGAAAGACGCAGCGTCCCATTAAAAAATTAAATAGCTATCGACAATTAATGTCATAAATTGAATTTGGCAGCTTAAATATTATAGGTTTTAATCATCATTTGGTTGCCATTATTATTCGCTAACAAAATATTTAATTTTTAGTTTTCAAACATCATTTCTAGTCTTGTTGTGTCATTTCATTTTATTTTCAATACATTATATTAAACAGTTTCAAAACCAAATTTACGCATTGCTCCGTAACTAGCTTTCTTAATGTATGGTTTTAGAAATATTGTGAAAAATGAAATTTAAAAAAATACATTTTAGGAGTTTTATACATATAGTTAAGCGAAAAAAAATCGCATTATAAAAATATGATAAATCACTATTGATAAAGATGTAATTAAAAACATCAAAACCAGTCTCAATTTCCTGCAACAGTTAGATAGCTTTAATTGTCTTTTTCCACCATAGTGATTCATCAGATTTAGGTAACGATTTGTTTTTTCCTTTTAAAATTGTTTATGACCCCTAAATGTATATATTTCTTATTTCCTTCTTGACAAGGCTACATTAAGAGGGTAATTACGGAACACCAAGAACATCCCTTAAATTATTAACGTGAAATGGTGTTGATTCTTTTCTAGTTTTTTTTTCTCAAACCTGCTAGCGTGGTTGGTTAAGTTAGCCTAGGTAGAGGTTTGATTATTAAAGGTGAGGTGACTGACTGGACTGCACTTTCTCTTATCGTAGTGTATAGTTCAGATTCTATTCTAATGTAATGAACACGATGGTTTTCGAGCCGAAAAAGTCTACGCTAGGTTGGGCTATTGGGGAGCATGGTGAGAAGATTGCTACCATCATCTGCTTCAACAAACTTTGAGAAATTGCAGTTTATTAAAGCATACATTTCTGAAGAGGAATGTTTGGTTGAGACACAAAAAATGAGAAAAAATAAAAAAAAACTTTGTTTATTTACATCATCGCATACTGATTCGTCGTAGTAAAAATTACTATAAATGTTCTACGTTGCGTTCACCAATAATAATGCAACAAACTAGGCAGCTGTTTGCAATGCTATGGGTAAAGGACAGTAGTGAGTCTGGTCAATCGTGATCTAAAACATCTGCAAGTCGGAGAAAATGTCATTTGCAATTGTGCTTAAGTGGAGACATGGGACATGCATACAATATACGACAAAATTTTGGTTTCAGAATGATTTTTCACCCGTCCACGATGATGCAAGGAAAACCACGAAAACCTCCCACGGTTAGACTGACGTCGAGGGGACTCAAATACATGATCCGTCTACTACTGAGGGTATTTTACGTCAGAACTGTGGTCGGTGCTAGCCGGAATTCGAATCGATTGGCCAACGCTGGGATTCGATCCAGGTTCATCTCATTGGAAGACGAAAGCTTTATCCCCTGACTCACATGGTTCATATGTATTTATTTGCGAAAAATTTCTGACAGCCTTCATAACATATAATTCCAAGAACAATTTCAAACAATTCATATTTATTTGGAAACGCGCTGAGGTGCCTTCTTTTTACAACAAACCCTTCGTTTAAAAATCAAATTAAAAA